TACAGACATTCTTCAGTGGACTTCTGTAACAGTGAAAATATTTGCAAAGCTGCCTCGGTTTTTCGTGTTTCATAGATAAATGAGAATAAAATAAGAGAGGAGGATTTTTCTCTCCCCTTTCCCTGAAGTTTCTATTTTTAACTCCTATACAGTATCAGATGTAATATCCTGGTGTTCCTTCCCTAGTCCTGGCTCCTGCCCGTAAAATACACACATGCTACAGGAATCCAGCCACATGGAAGAGGCTTCCTGCCCAATTACAGTTATTTTTACTGGGACTAAAACATTGAGAAGTCGGTACCTCTATAGACAAATACTCCATATGCGTTATGGATGAATATGTCTATGGATGGAACAGCAGAAACCACCTAATAGACATGATGGATGGTTCAGGGCAGAAACGTGGCGCACCTCCAGTGTTCACTCTGCTAGGACAGAATGTTGGTGTAAGGAGTTCCAGAAATCTCAGTGCCAGTTAAGTTTGGCAGTTGGTTCCTTCCAGCTGTTCTTAAAGGTATTCTCTCTGCAGGGATTTAAAAGTGGCTCATAGTTATGGCCTACAATGTTTAAGTGTAGCTGTTTGTTTTGATTCTTCCCTTTGGAAAATAGAGAAAACGGGATGTTTATCTAGTAGGGAAGGGTTTATGAAGTTCTATAGAGTCTGATCTAAATGATCACAACTGTCAAGTGCTGGTAAAAACAGTGGGGGAAAAGTCATCACGTGTGAAGCATACAAGGAAATTAATTGATTATTATTATGAGTGTCTTACCTCTCAGCTGGTTGTGGTGCATCAGGTAGATAACCCCAGAGGAAGAGCGGCGGAGATTCCTTGGAGGGATTTCAAATTTCAGACTGTCTCAGGGTCTCTAGAAGTCCTCATTTTGGGGCTTGCTTATCCGGCTCTTAAGTGTGAATTTGTTGAAGAAAAAGGAGAAAGAGAAAACCTTTTGAGATTGAAGCTGCCTTTATTTAAAATCCTTTTTCAGTCTAAATCCTTTTTTCAAAAGGGAGATTTTTGCTGTTGATCATTGTACATTACTTTAAAGGATTAAATGTAGTAAAATTTAAAATGTATAGCAAGTAACATGGAAGGGCACTAAATGAAAATATTGGAACATACTCCATATTCTTCTCACTTTACCAAGACATGGGGGACAATGTAATTTTTTTTTTTACTCTCTTTTCTTTTAGAGAAAACTGAATGTACAAAATAAAAATAAATGACAGGAATGATTATACGCTTTACAGAAGGGCTCTTTGACTTTCAAAGGATCATATGGATTTTATGTAAAGAGCTGAGTTTCTTAACATATAGAAATCATACTGCATATTGTGCATATTTTATTGCATAGAAATCTTTTTTTCTTGAATTATCTAGGATAGGGGCAAACAGCCTATAAAATGAGTACCAAGTAAGCAACTTGAACTCACCCTGCACTATGCAGATCTTGACAAAGGCTACTTGAAAGATGGAATTGAATGTCAGCATTGCGCTTTGGGACATCACATGTACATAGTGAAAAAACTCTCACTATACTAGAAGTTTTAAACGTTTATGAACAAAATGGAAATTTTTGGTTGTTCAAAACCTCTTTCTTAATCTTAATACAAATGCATGTACTGCAATAGCTTTAGTCTCTGAAATTGTATAGATAGTAGTACTGAAAACTAATAAGATTATTTGTAACAAATGGCCATATTAATGTAAAATGTCAATAATAGAGGAAACTGGATGTGAACTCTCTGTATCTTCTCAATTTTTCTGTAAATCTAAAATAGTTCTTAAAAAATTAAAGTCTATTGAAAAAGAAACAACAAGGACAAAACTCCTTTTTATTTTATTCAATCTCCTTGTTCTAGCATTGTTTCCATTATCTGTAAGATGTAAGTATTCAGAGGTAAAACAAATATTAAAATATTCCAGTAATATTTTCCTTTGAAAATATCATATTACTTAACTATTTGAACCATTTCCAGATCTTAGTCCAGACTCCCATTTAATATTTGGTTTATTAGAACCTAACAAGAATAGTACCATATAGATTTTTATTTCCTCTGTAAGGCAAAAACACGTGGAATATTTCTTGCTCCCTATTATCTCTAATAAGTTGAAACCATATCAATTTTATTTACTTTAAAAATTTAAGATTTTAGATTTGAGTGAGATTTAATTTATATTTTATTATTTTCTAAAGCTAAGGACTAATAATAGCTGATCTTTGAAACTTTTATTATATATAAGATGCAATAAAAATGTGTATAGCTTTACAACAGCTGATAATGCGAAATTTTATCTTAACTTGAACTGGCTTTTTAAATATTATTTAAAAACTATTCATACTTATTACCTTAGTTTATTCTTTTAGCTCTTTTATACTTTAATATGGAAAAAAATTTTTTTACCCCATTGAAGACTGCAACATTCTAGTTGCTGTAATCTAAAACAGTGCTTAGAAATACTGATGCTTAGGGCTATTTCTGTGATTACTTTGATGACATTTTCTGAGTTTAATTTTTTCATTATGCAGCTATCTTTCAGAGACTAGCATATTGATTTTTATAATTAATATTCTGTGTACCTGAGACGGTATTTTTATTTTTCTATTTCTAGAGAATTGAACAGCATAACTGCTCTAAGTGATGTGTCTTGTATGTTATCTTATAAATGCTCAAGGTACAGCTTCTAATGTTGAAAAATAGAAAAATAAATTGACCTTGATGAAGTGTGTCTTCTTTTGTCTGTTCCCAGGAAAGTTTATTTCAGGTATTTCTACTGCGGAAATGATTAGCGTTAACAGCCTTTCCCCTCCATTTTATTTTACAGGGTCTCTTCATCTTCCTGATATATGGGGTGTACTACACAGAGGTAAGTCTGCTTGGAGTATCTCAAGGCTGACAGAGTGAATGAGAGAAATGACAGGTTTCTTATCTTGATAACTGAGGCACAAAGTTGGCTTTTCATATGAGTGTCCCACTGCCCTTCATGCTTGGACTAGCTTATATGCATCCAGCTTACCATTAAACACCGACACCCTGAATAAAGGGACAGCCTCATTTCTCATAGGCATTGACTAATATTTTACGACTGCCTTAAGTTTTTGAATTTTCAGTCTTTCTTTTAACACTTAACCATACTTGACAGTATTAAAGTTTCACAGCTGGAGTGGCAGAATACTTATATGTAGTTGCATGGAGTTAGAAAAATACTAATATTTCTTATCTCAAAATGCTCATTAAATATTGTCTTTTAAGTTTTTGAGCAGGCTCAGAGAGGCCCATAAGAATTAGTTAATAACCCTTATGGTTTCAATTGTGAAATTTCTCAGAAAAGTCATTTATGATTTAATTATGAGAAGTTATTTAGCTAGAAATATTGTGAGAAAATGGACTTGTAATTTCATTAAGAAAATATACTATGTAAATAAATTATTGTCACAGTTCTAGTTCTTTTATGAAGAAATGTCTGATTTATAAATACTCTTTGTTAGGACAGTTGCTGGTTTAGATTTTTGCATGCTTAATAGGAAAGTGAGTGCCCTGTGTACATTAGGCATTGAATAAATATTTGTTTGATTTTTGTTGATCTAACTTTGATTTCAAGATTTTACTGTGGAATTTTCCCGTGAGAGAGAAACTGGTAATTCTGCTGCGTTTCTCAGGACGTATTCTACGCTGGGGGAGGGCACAGTGGGTCCTAGTAGAGATCTTAGAAGGGCCTGGTGGTCAGTTTCTCATAAACAACACAAGAGGCCAGGCAGCTATGTAACGTGGCAAACTGCCTTGTTAGCCAGCCTGAGCAGGTATGCGGGCATTTAAATACCATCTGATGATGATGAAGCCTGTCTGTGGGCGTGTTTTACAGGGCTGCCGCACCTGGATTACACGCGCTTTCCTTTTCCAGTAGCCTTCAGGTAGGTTGGCAGTAAGACAACTTTTTTTTTTTTTTTTTTTTGCAACGGTACCTGTATTGCGGTTCCAAAGTAGGCTCTTCCTATAAATGCAAAGGACACGTGCCCATTATGACAGTGTTTCCAACCACCGAGGGATAACAGAAGCAATCCGTTTTAATAAATGTTGAGCATTTGAAGCTTCATGCTTTGAGGCAGAATGAAAAGAGCCCTCAGTGACCCACTTCTGGGTCTGGATTTTGACTCAATACCCAGACTGCATACTGTGAAAAGAAGCAAGCCCCACCCCCCAGGCCTCAGTTTCCCCATCTCTCCCTCCAGCCCCGAGCCACGCCGCAGCACTGCCCCGCGTGTCTCCACGCTCCGGGGATCCGCCTCCTGAGCGCCTGACCCACGTCCCCCTCCTTCGGCGCGGCCCATCAATCACGCCTCTCCGCCTCGGAAGCCTCTCTCCCGGGGGCTCCGAGGCCCCGCCCCTCGAGCCCGGGGCCGCCCCTCCGCCCAACCGCCCGGGTGATTGACAGGTGGGCCGGGCGGAAGCTGCGGCGCAGGCGCGTCGGCCCCGCCGAGCTCCCCTCCGGCCGGGCCGGGGAGTTCCCGGCAGGCCCCGCGCCGCGGCTGCGCAGTGCGGGGAAGGCTTTTAATTCCATTGTGGAGAGGACGGCGTTATTTTTATTAACCGGAGGCGGCGGCGGCGGCGGCGGCGGCGGCGGTGGTACCGTAAGTGTGCCGGGCGGGG